GACTTCAAAATATTCTGATTCCCCTTTATTTTTAAGTTCAAGAGTGAGCCTATCTGCTTCCGCACAGGCGGAACACTTTTCTGTTTATATCTAGCTCTGATGGTGTATTTTCTTTTTTCCAATATTGCATATAAGTTATGCGAACCACAGTTAGTATATGTATAATTAGATAAAGTGTATCTTTCTTAAACCCCTCCAGTATTATACCTAGGAGAAAAAAATCTGGTTTAAACAAGATTTGGTTTTCCACAATTTGTTCTAACTCCGATTGAATCATTTTCCAATATTTTTTTGCCTCATTGCCTGTCCACCACATATGATAGCAATAGCAATAGCAGTTAGACTTATATACCGCTTCATAGGGCTTTCAGCCCTCTCTAAGTGGTTTACAGAGTCAGCATATCGCCCCCACAGTCTGGGTCCTCATTTCACCCACCTCGGAAGGAGGGAAGGCTGAGTCAACCTTGAGCCGGTGAGATTAGAACTGCTGAACTGCAAATAACAGTCAGCTGAAGTGGCCTGCAGTACTGCACCATAACCACTGCACCACCTCGGCTCTGATAAAAGTGCCTGGTGTTTTTTTACACTTCCAACAATTTGGGGCCAGATTTTTAAACATTTTGGAGAGCCCTGCTGGGGGGAGATGCCATCTGTAGAAGATCTTATAAAGATTTTCTTTATACACCGTAGCCATTGTTGAAGCTGTGGGGGTTTGAGGATGTAAGAATGGAGTTAGGTAGAGCATTCCAGGTGTTGACCACTCTGTTGTTGAAGTTATATTTTCTGCAATTGAGTTTGGAGTGATTTATCTTGAGTTTGTATCTATTGTTTGCCCATGTATTATTGCAGCTGAAGCAGAAGTAGTTGCTGAAAGGTAGGATGTTGTAGCAGACAATTCTGTGTACTATGCTTAGGTCAGACCTTAGTCAACATTTCAAGTCTGGTGGCATCAGCGATTCTATTGAGAGTAGAGGAGTGGAGGACTCCTCTCGTGAAATATCTCTGGACTCGCTCAATTTTATTAATGTCCAATAAACAGTGTGGATTCCAGGCAGAAGAGCTGTATTCAAGGATTGGTCTGGCAAAGGTTTTGTATGCCCTAGTTAACAGTACAATGTTCTCATGAAATTTCCCCAAATGGTTAAGGTACTCTTCTAGGTTATCCAGCTTTGTGCATCAGTGGATGGCTGCAGGAACTTCTGTTTTTCTCTAGGAAAACAGAAATGTTTGTTCCCCACCTCCCAGGAATGTGTCATTCCAATTTAGGACCACCATACATGGCTTGTAAAAGTCGGGATGACCATGAGATGTCACTGAAGAGATACAAAATACATCACCTGGAATTGTGACATTGAGAACAATAAATAGTTGTTTATAAATTAATGAAAGTCTCCATAGTTTAATAAAGAGGACTTCGTATAATTAAAATTGGGACTAGGGGGGAAATGATAGCAATGTTCCAATATCTAAGGAGCTTTTATAAAGAAGTGGAGGTCAACCAATTTTCCAAAGCACTTGTAGGCAGGACAAGAAACAATGGATAGAAACTAATCAAGGAGAGAAACAACTTAGAACTAAGGAGAAATTTCCAGTGAGAACAAAATTAATCTGTGGAACAGCTTGCCTCCAGAAGTTGTGAATGCTCCAACACTGGAGGTTTTAAAGAAGAGGTTGGACATCCATTTTTCTGAAATGATATAAGGTTCCTACTTGAGCAGGGGTTGGACCAGTAGACCTCCAAGCTCCCTTCCAACTCTGTTATTCTGTTAACTCCCTAGTACAGCTTTACACTGCACTGGTGAGACCATATTTCAAATAAATGATTTGTGGTGTTTGGACTTTATTAAAGATCCATTTCCCTTTGCAAGAATGACTCTTACAACAGAAATGACATCTGTGAAAAACCAGCAGTATTCTCAATGTATTTCTTTCTTTCAAGTATCAAGAGCTGAGCTGTTGCATTACCTGGAACAGTTGCTTCTTGTTGGAAAGCTCCTTCATGGTGGTCGATGTTGGAGCTGGCATTTGAGGTGCCTCGGTTTCCTTCAGAGTAAATTCTTCTATGCCAGAAGCCTTGGCAAAGACAGGGCAACAGACTGGGGAAGAGGACAAGAAGCAGCATTATCAACCAGAGGTGGTATTCAGAAAGTTCTAATCAGTTCTGAAAACAGGTGGTGGAAATTTTAAGTAGTTTGGAGTACCGGCAAACCTCTGACTGGCACCACCCCCATCTATTTTCTGCCTCACCCCCGGTCTCAGTTGATCGAGAGAAAATTGAGATTTTAGAGTATCATTCCCCTGGAGTGGTGAGGAAATGGGGATTTTGCAGTATCCTTACCGTGGAGTGGGGAGGGAATGGAGATTTTTGCAGTATCCTTCCCCTGGAGTGGGGAGGGAATGGAGATTTTACAGTATCCTTCCCCTGGAGTGGGGAGGGGATGGAGATTTTGCAGTATCCTTCCCGTGGAGTGGAGAGGGAATGGAGATTTTACAGTATCCTTCCCCTGGAGTGGGGAGGGGATGGAGATTTTACAGTGTCCTTCCCCTGGAGTGGGGAGGGAATGGAGATTTTTCAGTATCCTTCCCATGGAGTGGAGAGGAAATGGAGATTTTACAGTATCCTTCCTCTGGAGTGAGGAGGGAATGGAGATTTTGCAGTATCCTTCCCGTGGAGTGGAGAGGAAATGGAGATTTTACAGTATTCTTCCCCTGGAGTGGGGAGGGAATGGAGATTTTGCAGTATCCTTCCCCTGGAATCGGCAGGGAATGGAAATTTTACAGTATCCTTCCTGTGGAGTGGAGAGGGAAAGGAGATTTTGCACTATCCTTCCCCTGGAGTTGGGGGGGGGGAAATGGAGATTTTGCAGTATCCTTCCCCTGGGGTGGGGAAGGAATGGGGTTTCTACAATATCCTTCCCCTGCCACACCCACCAAGCCATGACACGCCCACCAAGCCACACCCACAGAACCAGCCACTTTTCAGGCCTTTTTCGGGACATTTTCAGGCTGTTTTTCAGGCTATTTTTGGTCTGTAAAATGGACTTAAAACAGCCTGGAAAATGGCCCAGAAAATGGAGGGTAAACAACAAAAAACAGGCTGTTTTTGAGCCATTTTCAGTCTGTTTTTCATGCTATTTTTGGCCTGAAAAGTCCTGTAAAATGGTCTGAAAACAGCCTGAAAGATGGCCTGAAAACAGCCTGGACAACAGCCTGGAAATGGCCCGGATAATGGCCCCAAACAGCCAAAAAACAGACATGTGCATGCCAGGCAGCTGGTCTTTTGGTTTCCAGCACTCTGGCATGCACACATGCGCACACAGGAATGTGCATTCTGGTTTGGGCACTCAGTGCCAAAAAGGTTCACTGTCACTGCTATAGCTAATCCAGTCCCTTCACCAATAGACTATGTCAGTTCTCAGTTAAGTGTCCATACTCAAGGTCTTCACACTGACCCCTGCATTCAGCCCCAAATAGACAGGAATCTTTCCTCTTGGGAAAAAAAATTGGTCCGAATATCCAGGCATGGGTGTGTTATACCACAGCCCTCGATTTATGACCATAAGTGAGCCCAAATTTTCAGTTGCTAAGTGAGACAGTTAAGTGACCCATGTCACTGAACCTTTTTGCCAGTGTTAACTAACAAAAAGCTTCCATTTTTTTTAACTCCAATTCATTAACAGGAACACATAGATTTTACCCACATCTCTTTTGATGCTACAAAACACCCACCTTCTTCTAAACACAAAGAGCTCAAAACAGTCAAGACAAGGAATCAGAAATTAAAATCCATGCAGATTCCATGCAAAACACACTGTAGTCCCTCAAAATAAATACACAACACTTACTCAATTTCTTTAAATCGTGTTTTCTCCGGTGCACAACCATTTTAGGTTCAGGTGGTGAGAAGCAGATTTTTAGAGTTATGGTGCACTGAAAACATAAAATCACAAGAAAAAGAAAACACCAACATTTTTTTTGGGGGGGGGCAATCCCGCTTTTTGTGCATATGTGAAGACAACCTTCTGCTTTAATATTTTGGAAACAAAACAGAGGCAGTGAATAAAATGGTTTCACAGTCAATTAAAAATTTTCTGCTTGTATTAATATTGATAAGGAAAATAATGTTTATCAGCACTGAAGAAAGGGTGAATGTCATGCCCCTGTCGGAGTCTGAATCTGCAGGGGAAAATGAGCTGGAACAAGAGCCAACAGAGACCAAGAGGGTGGCTCCGTTGGCCTTGGAGGAAACTGGGGAAGGGGAGAGTCAATCCGGGCAAGGCTTTTCAGGATCAGAAAGGCTTATGGACAAGGAGGAGCAGGAAAGACAGAGCTCAGGTGAAGAGCAAGGACCACCCACTCCTGATCCTAGAGTACAGAGAGAAGAGAGAAGGCAGGAACAACACAGACTGAGTGCCCCTCCCCTTCACAAGGCACACCTGGGCACTGAGATATAAGGAGATGCTGGTGGGAGGGGCATTTGTCAGGAACAAGCATTGTGTGCCCTTGCTAATGCCTGGAGATTACTGTGCTCTCTTGTGGAGCTTGCCCTGTTTGCCTGCTTCACTGAACGTCTTGCTCTGATTACTGTTTGGCTAACATGGCTTACTGGACTGCTGGCCCTAACTCTCTGGAACTGCCAGATAACTAGTTTCCAAAGGCAGGGCAAGGCAACACTTGGCACAGAGTCTCTTATAGTCACAAACAGAACTTTCCACTCTTGAAACGACCAAATGAATGAATTGTTTCTTGAAAAAGCCCCCTCCCCATTCTCTCTTCTTTTGTTTCCTCTGGGAGGGGCCAATCACCTCCAAGTGTGGCTTTACTCCCAAGTCGACCCTGATTACTGAATTGTTCTTGTCTTTTGGCAGCTCTGGGAACAGGCTCCAGCTGTTCTTCTGCCTCACTGCTGTCTAGCTCCCTCTCTGCCTCTGATGCAGAGCCCTTGTCTGAGCTTTCATCAACCCCACGCCCCCAAGACATGTTCCTCCTCAACCTCCTCACTGTCCAACTCACTGCCAGCTCTCCTGGCCACCAGCGTGCTACGACAAGATTACCATAATGTTGGTGGACATCCAGTCTTCATTGTAGTTCACAGCGAAGCATTTCAAGTTTAAAACATTATTTTTATTTCCTTCCTGACTTACCTCTGTTGGCTGCAGAGTTTTGGTTTGCAGGCTTTGATTCTTCTTCATAATCATAACATTTGGTTTTTCGGCTGCTGTTCCTAAGGCTACATCCACACTGCCAAAATCCCTAAAGTTAGTAGAGAAGTGGAAAAGTCAAGGAGGCGCTTCAAAGAAAGACAGGTTACTAGTAGCAACCACAAGGTTTAATTGGATTAGGACAGAGGTTGGCAACCTTAAACATTCAAACACAGCCATTTGGACCTGTTTCCCACAGAAAAGAAAACATTGGGAGCCACAAAACCATTCCCACGCCTGTCTATTTCCTGAGTGCCCACAAAACTAAGTTCTGTTTTCTTCTGAAACATTTTTCTTTTCTTGGATTTATCCCTGGTTGGCCTATTGGTTGGCTGTTGGGTGTCACACATTGGTGGTTGTGACACACATTTTGAGTGCAGGGAGCCGCAGCAGAGGGATGAAAGAGCCACATGCGGCTCCAGAGCTGCGGGTTGTTGACCCCTGGATTAGGAGGAAGAGAGATGTGACATCTTAGGAGGAAGAAGGAACTGAAGGAGAAACTTCCTCACAGTGATAGCAATTACTCAATGGAACAGCTTGCAACACTGAGTTGTGGGTACTCCATCGCTGGAGGTTTTAAAGAAAAAAATGGAAAACCAATTATCCAGGATGGAATTCCTGCCTTGGACTAGAAGACCTACAAGATCCCCTCCAGACCCATAACTATGAAAAAATAACACTTGATAGGTAGACAAAAGAGAATAGAATAGAATAGAATAGAATAGGAGAATGGAATAGAATAGAAGAATGGAATAGAATAGAATAGAATAGGAAAGAACAGAATAGAATAGGGGAGAATAGAATAGAATAGAATTCTTTATTGGCCAAGTGTGATTGAACACACAAGGAATTTGTCTTTGGTGCATATGCTCTCTGTAAAGAATAAAATACATTCATCAAGATTAAAAATATACAACACAGTGATAGTCAAGGTTTCTAATAAGCTATCAAATCATACTAGGAAACAAATAAAACAATATAAATTGAAAGATGCAAGCAACATGGTTATAGTCATAAGTGGGAAGAGATAGCTAGTAGGAAGGAAGAGAAGAATAATAGAAATACAGCCTTAGTAAATAGTTCAACAGTGTTGTGGGAATTATTTCTTTAGCAGAGTGATGGCATTTGGGGAAAAAGCTGTCCTTGTGTCTAGTTGTTCTGGTGTGTAATGCCCTATAGCATCATTTTGAGCATAGGAGTTGAAACAATTTCTGTCCAGGATGTGAGGGGTCTGTAGATATTTTCACAGCTTTCTTTTTGACTCGTGCAGTATATAGGTCCTTAATGGAAGGCAGGGGTGAAATCCAGCAGGTTCTGACAGGTTCTGGGGAACTGGTAGCAGAAATTCGGAGAGCTGGCAAATACCACCTTTAGCTGGCCCCAGAATGGGGAGGGAATGGGGATTTTGCAGTATCCTTCCCCTGCCACGCTCACCAAGCCATGCCCACAGAACTGGTAGTAAAAAAAAATTGAATTTCACCACTGATGGAAGGCAGAATGGTAGCAATGTTTTTTTTCTGCAGATCTAATTATCTGCTGAAGATAATTATTGATAATTATTGAGGACTCTGCCACCAAACCTAATAGGCTACCCATCTCCCCAAAACCCTGGGAGCAAAGAGCGTTTGACAGAAGCTTGTATGGGTGTTAAGAGTAGTTATTTAGAGATAAACTGAGTTCATTAACTGAGTTGGACTTGGGAGAATGAGGGGGTTATGTCCCCAACTCAAGTTCTTATCTTAACTTGGCCCTGGACTGAATATCCCCTAGTTGAATACTCTCCCATTCAAATGGCTCTTTCCACATAGACCTAACAAGCCATGAAGACTTCCACTGGGTTGTAGACAGCAGATTTAGGTGAACCAAGCACTGTGAAATAGTGATACATCAAGATGTAACTCTAAAGCAAGTTGGGTCCACACAACATGTAGAGCAGTGGTGGGTTTCTACCGGTTCGCACCGGATTGGGAGAACCGGATGGTGAAATTTACTGATCCGGTGAGAAGAGGTTCGACTGGTGGACCCGGAAGTAACTTCCGGAACGCTTGCCCCAGCCCTGTCGCTCCTCGCTCACCCCCACCTGTCCAGAAGCTGCTCCATCGCTCGCTCCCTCCCACCTGTCCGCACTATTCTAGCCCAATTCGGTGTCAGTTCCCATACCTGGGAGTGGAGGTGGTGAACGGAGAAGCATGGAGAGGTCCAGCGGCACAATCCACCAGACAGTAGCGGCAAGCTCAGGAGTTTTCTCCTGGATTCCCCTCTGTCTTGTCTTCTCCGATCTCCCTAATTTCATCCCTTAATTCTCCAGTTGTCTATTTTTGGGAGGTTTTCCCCTGTCTCCCCCCCACTTCATAGGAGTCCCAAATTTTTGGCCACATGGCTTGGGGGGTGGTGGTCATGTTACTGTGAGTGCATGAGTGCATGAGTGCATGACAAGTTGGCCATACCTGCCCGATCACATGACTGCCAAGCCACGCCCACAAAATAGGCCACACCCACAAAATAGGTTCTAAAAAAATTTGAAACCCACCACTGACTTAGAGTCACACATAGAGCTGTCTGATTTGCTGGAGGGGAGTTGACAACTTGCCTGCTGAGCTTCATTTCTATATAGGCCCATGATGGCGAACCTATGGCACACATGCCACAGGGGGCACACAGAGCACCCAGACTACACCAGTCGTCGCCCCAGCCCAGATCCACCGCACAGGCATGCACACTCCCCAGCAGCCAGCTGGTCTTCAGGTCTCTGCTGTGCATGCATGAGGAGGCGCATGCAGTGGATGCCTGCATGGATGCACGAGGGGTGAGGTGCACATGCAA